CTTTTCAGAGATGTCACACTTGTACCCTGACCTAATATGTGCATGTCCACAATTTGTTACATAAACAAAGGAGGCTACAAAACACTGTCTGCCAAGCTAACTCTTCTACTCTAAACATTTAAATCCATGCCAAAAGCAAAGATCTGCGAGGGGACTCTGTAAGTGGTTATCTGAGTGGCATTAGGAGAGATTTCAGTTTCTTTTTGCTTACCTGAAAAAATCTTTTAAAATAACCATTGTAGAAACCATCCACCATTATTTAAAATTTTTAAACATTATTTAAAAGCATACAGATAATAGCAGTAGCAATAAAATGTGTGTTACTCCCACCAGAGAATCTGTTCCCCTTCAGGTGTGTCTTCATCAGAAACCAGCATTAGCATGTGTTTCCATCTTAACACTGATTTTGTTAAACGCCTCTTATTCTGGTGTAGTTTCCACCGCACCTGAACTTGAGGGCCCTAAATTGCTGCCAGCTCCCCAGGACCACCTCTTCCTACAGGCTTGGAGTCAGCAATGAGGTGGCTCTGGGTAGCTGTCAGCATTGCTGTGTCCCTAGGCTTTTTAGCTCACGTCCTGTCCTTAGCCATTTGTTTAAAATACCTTCAAGGCCACAGCTATGGGCTGGAGGGTTGTCAGTGACTAAAGTATCTTCACAAGGTCTAGAGGCTGGTGTTGGCAGTACCTGGTTAACTTAGGAACTTATCACCCCCAAAGAAGTACTATCTCTATTAACATTATTCAGTGTTTGCTGTATAGAGAGTGCTGTTTTTGTTTGTTGGTAACAGACACATTTTTATTTTCTTTGTAGGGCATTAAATTTTAATGCAAGATTGTCAACCATAGGACAGAGAAACAATTGGGGAAAACATGTCAAAGCTCTTCTTCTACCTGAACTGGAGGTAAGTGGTGAGTAGTGGCTGCTCTTTAGCCCTCTGTTTAGGAGAGGGTCCCATTCATCTGTGAGCATTGTTGGCCTACTGTCCTCAGGAGGGATGTCAGAGGCCTCATTTGGAGAAACCCCTCCTTCTGCTATCCTCAGGTGTCCCTCCTGCACTGGTCATAAGTCAGGCCAAGATTATCAGGAGTTCTCACAGGGCAGGTGGCAGCTTGCTCTCCACTACTTTTTACAGTGGGATGTGAAAGTAAGAGGCAGAAACCCTCCAGAAATACATTGGCAATCTCTCTGGAGTCATTACTGCTCTGCTGAGAACATCACAGAGCTGACTATCCACAGCAGGACAGGGAAGTCAGGAAGCAAAAGGGCAGTGAAATAAATACCCCTGAGTCTTGCTCTGTTTGTGGAGGCAAAAAACCTATGAACAAGGAACCCCCCCAATCACAGTGACAAATAGCAAAAGTAAGCATCCAGGTTGTGCAGGCAGATTCCTAAGGAGCCACCACGGGGCCACGAGCTGCCCGGTTGTCTGTTACAGTGTCTCATTTGCAAAATGCTCTATTGTTTCTTTATCCAGCATCTAGATAAGACCGTGCTGATCATGAGCATGCTCATCAGCTCCAACCCTGTGGCAAAAATCTTATATGGTGACCCTACAAGCTTCTTGCTCCAACTGCCCCAGAAAAGTGTGGTTCGTTGCTCAAAGATTTGGAGCTGCAGGAAGAACACAGTCAAGTACCTCCAGCACATCATGGAGCAGAAGAGCAGCAAGGAGATGGTGCCCGTGCTCTGGGAATTCCTGTAGAAGGTGTGTCTGCTTCATGGGCTGCCCCGTTTTCCTGGTAGACTTCCCTTAAGGAGGACTGGGAAGCTCTGTGCCTGGGTTCAAAGTCATCATTCTTAGAGGCAGAACCCTAACCCAGCCCCATCAGCACTGTGATTCTGAATGCAAAGCCTGTAGCGTGAGTCTCAGGGACAGCACAGAGGTCTTAAGACACATCTGCTGAAGTAATAGGTGTAACAGGCACATGAGTGAGGTTAGCTGTGATCTATAAGAATTTGAAGTCCAGGAGGGATCACACTGGTCACTCGGCTGTGATGCCTTGTCTTCATCCCTAGATGTGGGAGGTCAACCTTACATGTGACTGAGTTACACTCCCCAGCTGGGTGCTGAGGCTCTCAGCCACAGAAATGTGGCATCCTTCTTGGGTATGAGGGTCGTGGGTGTGTCTTTCTACAGCCCCATGAGTGAAGCTATGCTCACCTGTTCCTTTGTAATATAACCCCTTGCCTTGTTTAGGATAGAATCTTCCATGGAAGTGCCTTGTGTGTGTCCCCTTCTCTTACTATGCTGTTGGGTGTGGCCTACCCAGGTATCAGTCAACCTGCTGACAGTGGACATCATGAAGATACCCAGCCCCCTGAAACCTGACACCTTGCCTCATTTGAATAGCTTCCCTCAATAAAAGGGGTCAGTGCCTGCTCTCACTCTCTCTCTCTTTCTGCGGACCCTTAAGGTCAGAGGAACCATCACAGTGACCCCAAAGAAAAAGGTATTGTGTCTCTTGTGGTTATTTCATGCAACCCAGTTAGCCCAGTTTAACTGGAGTGACCCCTGAGCCTTTTAGTCATGAGAACAGAAACCTGGCACCTAGAAGCTGAGCAGGTGGTCACCAGCAAGTGCTTGCTGAACAGTCAAGAATGCACACCAAAACCAAACCTCCCTGTGACCTGCAGGCAGGAGGCAGTGTGCTGCATGATGGGGCTGTGGGATGTGGAGTCACATCTGCCAGGCCCAGAAACCATCTCCAGCTTTCACCCACTTGAGCTCTCCTGGGCCACAGTAGAAGTTCTCAACACCTTCCTCATGGACCAGTACCACAGCTGGCAGGGAGCAGAATGATTGGGAAATGTCTGGTGCTCACACTAGGAAGGACTTCATGTTAGTGTTATGATCTCTTATCAATACATGGTTTCACTTGACTGAGGATGCTGGATCCTGGCCCTTCAGAACAAAACCCAAAATCACACCAGCTACCACTACAATAGACCTGGTCTTTCCTTTCACAGTCTCACACCCAACAGTGGGCCCAAGAATCAATTTTTAGAAAAAATTTTTCCTAAATTATTTATTTTTATTAATTCATTAGTTGTACACATAATGGGAATCTGTGTGAAATTTCCATGTATGCATATAGCATTCACTGATCTTGTCTCTGTGTCTGGCTTATTTTACTTAATATAACATCCTCTAGTATTATCTGTTTTGTTAAAAATTTCAGGAGTTCATTTTTCTTATAGCTGAATCATATTCTATTATGTATATAAACCACATTTTCTTTACCCATTCATCTGCTGATGGGCTTCTAGCCTGATTCCATGTCTTATTGTGAATGGTGCCACATAAACATGTGCATGCAGTACTTCTTTGATATGCTGATTTCCTTTGGAGTGGTATAGTTGGATCACATGGTAGATCTTTTTTAGTTTGAGGAACCTCCATACTGTTCTCCCTTATGAGATATTAGTTTACATTTCTACAATAAGTATATTAAATTTCCTTTTTCTCTTTATCTGTATTATTTTATGTGGGGTTCATCTATTTTTGGGTGTGGGGGACTAGTGGCAATTGAACCCAGGGCTTTCTTGGGCTTCCTAGGCAAGCAATGCTCTACTACTAAGCTACAGCCCCCCCATCCCCTGCTTTTTTTTTTCTAAAGATAAGGTCTCATTAAGTTGCCTACACTAGCCTAGAACTTGCTGAGGCTGGCCTTGAACTTGTGATCCTCCTGCAAAAGGCTCCTGAGTTCCTGAGTAGCTGGGATTACACACAGATCTTTTTTTTTTTAAATAAGAGCCATTCTAACTGTGGGGGGATGGCATCAGATTATACTTTTGATTTGCATTTCCTTGATGGCTATTGACATTGAGCATTTTTTCATATATTTGCTAATTACTTATATTTCTTCTCTGAGAAGTGTCTATTCAGATCATTTGCTTATTTTAAAATTGGATAACTTTGATTTTTTGTGGTTAAATTTTTTGAGTTATATATTCTGGGTATTTGCCTGCTCTCAGGTGAAGAGTTGGCAGCTATTTCTCTTATTTTATAGGTTGTCTGTTCACTCTGTTGGTTGTTTTCTTTGCTGTGCAGAAACTTTTGCATTTGATGTAATCCCATTTGTCATTTTGCTCTTACTTCCTGTGGTTTGGGGTCCTATCTAGAAAACCATTGCCTGTGCCAATATCTTGAAGGGTTTCCCCTATTTTTCTGCTGACAGCTTCAGAAGTCAAGTCTTATATTTGTTTCTGGAGTTGATTCTTGTGTAAACTGAGAGATGGGGCCTAGCTCAGTCCTTGAGGCAGCTTTTCATTGGAGGAGAGTGGGGACTTGGTCCTGTTCATCAAAATCCCTCATGTGTAGGGCATGCCTAACATATCAAAGATCTTTAGAGATGGCTCCACTTGGTGAAAGGATGAGATAACCCCTTTCCCATTTGCAAGCTTCAGGGTATAATCATGTAAAACAACCCACTGACAAAATTAAACTACACAGAAAGTCCCCAACCTGCCCCAAATCTATACACCCTATGTTGTTTCTCATTTAAATAGAGGAAATGTTACTGAGCTGTCTTCCCTTCTCCAGGAGGCAGAACTGAGACTGGTGAAATTCCTGCCTGAGATTTAGCCCTGCAAAGGTATCTAGTGAAATGATTCCAGAATGTTCCAGAAGATGAATACTGTTCCATCAGGAGTTTTATTAGCAGTCACAGTTCAAGTATGACTGCTGTCTGCGCCAACAAAAGATCAGGACCATCCATGTTTGGTGGTTCAAAAGAATCATTCAGGCTGGGGCATGAGGGTAGGGCTCAGGTCCTAAGGTAGAGAAAGAGGCAAAGGATGCCAAATACCAGAGATGGGCCGTGAGCCACTGCTGTGGCTGGAAAGCCCTCCCCATCTCTAGCTTCTCATGCGGCCTCAAATTTGAAACTCGGGCATGCTGCTGAGTATAGGAAGGTGCAGGGTCAGGTTCTTGGGAGCACACCTTGTGGTTTAACCCTGGCCAGGGTGGTGGTAGGGGTTGTTTCCATGGGGATCTTACCAAGTGTTGTGTTCAACAGATGGGCTGAGGCAGCTATTCCACAACAGGAGCACCATCTTTCTGTCCATGTGAAATGTGCTGAGGTGGTTACTGAAGACCAATGGTAAGTGTCCTCCTCCATGTGGCTCTGCCAGCACCCTGCTGTGTATGTGGCAGTGCAACCTGTTGATGGAGGTGCTACATGAACCAACCACAAAAGTAACCCTCAGTCATCCTAAATCTATAAATATGGAATGAGAAAGGAGTTGAGAACACTGGAAACTTAACAGCCAGGGCCCAGCTCTGTGAAGATGGCTGCCCTTGGCTGCCCTCCTCCTCCCCTACCTCCAGGTTATGACCCATATGCCTTGTGCAACATCTCTGTGCTTAGGAATGACCCTGTCTTCTAAAGGTGAAATCAAGTTACCTAAAGACTACTGCAACTCCAACTTGGATCTGGACACAGATTTTGAGGTCATCCTGCCCCAGTGTCAGGGCCTGGGTCTCTGCTCAACTGCATTAGTCAGTTACTTGATTTATCTACTCAATGAAATCATCCACACGGTGGAGAAGTTCTCTAAGGAGAACAATAGGTACTGTATAAACCTACCACCCCTGCCACCAAGCTGGGCTGCAGACTCCAGCCAGCAACAACTCCTGTCCCCAAACCCTCTCTCAGCCTCTCTCACCAAAGGGTTTTCACTTGTTCACACTATGAGGGCAGAAGCAGGGCATATGCACCAAAGCCCTAGGCCCCACACACTTTCCTTGGACACCAACAACTGTATCTTGTGTCCCTCAGCTATTCCGTGGATGACTCAGAGGTCACTGACTTGCATGTTGTCAGTTATGAAATGGAGCACGACCTGTCTCCACTGGTTCTCTCCAACTGCCCATATCAAGTGAAACAAGGCCAAGAGACCTTGCAGGAATTTGACCTGGAGAAGATCCAGTGGCAGATCAGCAGCTGCTTCCTCCAGGGTAAGCCCCAGCTGATCCTCAAGGTAGAATGGGCCCTCAGTCAATGATTTGCTGTAGTTATGACCAGCCCTTGTGAGTTTCAGGGGGAACAGACAGAAGTGACACCAGGGACTTGTCTGCATTATCTCCTCCCTACTGGTGGTCTGTGGTCCCTTTGCCTTCTCTGCGCTAGGAGGTGTCCCCAGCTTTCTTCCACATGACTGTCAACATCTACACCTGTCCCCCAGGCAGCCTCAAGTCTCAGTGGACAGGGTTTCCACTACAGTTAATGGCACCACCAAGAAAACCTGTCACTGCTGCCATCCCCTTCAGTTGCATATGCAGTTTGTGCCCAGGAACCACTGCGCAAACCTTCCCCATGCCTTCATCCTCTAACTGCCATGGCCATTCAGAGCATTCAGCTGTCAGTCCAGCTGCCCAGTGCCAGCAGCACCACTTCATCTTAGTTTCCTGCCAGAATGCCCCCATGTAGGGAGCATCTGTTCAGGCACCCCTGGAAAGAAGCGGTCAGGAACCCCCACCCCCAGCCAGTCCACAGCATGTGGACAGTATTATATGGCCTCCACCATACTTCTCTATCTGGCACAGAGGCCCTGTTACCTGGCCCCAGCCCAACCTTCCAGCTGTCTCCATCCCTTCCTTCCTTACTGTATCAAACCCTGTGACCTGCTTTCTGACTCCCTGAGCACAATGGCACTTCCACACTTGCTGTCGCTGACCGTGGCTGCACTCATCCTTCCAGGTCTAGTCAGGTGTTGTATTTTTTCCCTCATTGCCCACAGTCAGGCTGTCAGTTGTTTGAGCCCAAAGCCATTTTTAATTCATCCTGACAGTGGCTTCTCAGTGTTACTGGATAGATCACAAGTAAACACACTCTCTGCTCAGTGTTGCTGGATAGATCACAAATATACACATTCCATTCCTGCTCCTCCAGTGCTCTTGTGCTCTTGTGGTCCTTAGATACACTATTCTACAGGGAAATATCTGCAAGGCCACTGTAGCCAGGCTAGATTTCTTGTGTTACTGTGTCCAAAGAGTGGGGGTGGAACAGAGTCATCAGGAGACAACAAAGCTATATTCCTTGCCCAGGAATATACTCTCTGGCTTGGTACTTCCACTGAGTCACTGCTAAAGAATACATCTGTCATCAGATGGAAGCCTCCAGTATGGATTTAATTTCCAAAAACCTTTTTTCTTTTTCACTTAGGGAATACCCACGCTGGTATGCAGACATGATTGAAACTTTGAACATCTCTTTATGGACATGAAGAACAAAATGGTGCAAGTGATCATGATAAACCCTCACTTGCAGGATGGTTCCATCCACATACATAAGGACAGTTTCATCTCTGAGCTCTGAGAGTCAAGCGGGATGGCAGATCACCAAACTTGCTTGATGAGAACAGACTAAACTCTTGGGGGTTGTTTTTTTAATGATGATATCATGACCAGATATTAAGATCCAGCAACAGATCAGCAGCTTCTTCAGGTACTACAGATTTACTTCTGTGCTTCTTAGATTCTGCTGCCAACAGGTAGAGAGGCTCTTCTGCCTCTCCACATCCTTATGGGTCATGTGGAATATTCAGTTAGCTCGGGCCCATTTCTGTGCAAAGTCTGAAATGCTGCAGCACTCAGCATCAGCTCAAGCACAAGCATCAATTCTTACCCTAAGTGCTGGATAGTTGGCCCCACCTGTGCTGGCAGCTCACAGTTAGGCTCTTACCAAGTAGGAGAAGCAATAGCCTGACCCAAGCCTCTGTCCTGCTTTTGGTTTCAAAGCCCCATCCCCAACTTGGCCATGGGTGCCATCATTGGAGAGTTTTGGTCCTACAGCAATGCCTGTGAAGCCCTGTCTGTCGCATAGGTCATTCTGGGCTTTCTAGGCATAGCTGGTGGGGATCCAAATATGCATCTGAATTTGTGTGTTCAAGATATCCTGCGAATGGGCAACCAAACAACTCCAGTTTTAAAGGTGGGTCTTGTGCGCTTTTCAAGGAGAATCAAGATCACCTCATCTTAGTTTCCTTCCAGAATGCACCACGCAGGAGCATGGCACAGGCATCTGTGGAAAGGGCTGGTCAGGAACCCCACCCCTAACCAGTCCACAGAACAGCAGTACACACTGGGGACGGGAGAGGCATGGATGCTCAGTGCTGACCACCTATTACAGCAGGATGCACAGAACACTGACTACCTGCTCACTGTTTAATACTCACACATACAAGCTGCTGCAGGAGGGGGAGACTCTTAGATGTTTGCAAGACAAGGCACATAGACCCTGGATGGAACAGATATGGCCTCATGACAGGAAATGGAAAAAATTAGGGAAAAGTGCCCTGGGGTACCAACTCAGAGTATTTGGTGTGCACCAAGGTAGGGTGTGAGCCTTCTCCTCCCACTTGGGACTCTCTTCCTCTTCCAAGCCTTAAGCAGATGTCAGTTAAAATACGCCATTGCCCTCTGGCTGTGGTGAGCCGTTCCTGCGGACTGTGGTTGCCATTACATGATGGCGCTGGCTCCGTTGTGGTCTGTGAAGGACAACTCCATATCAAAGAGAGTTGGCGTGTTCCCAGCTCCTTATCAGAGAAAGTTGGCGTGTCATTTTCTAGCACCCTGTGAGAAGGGTACACGTGGCAGCTTTGC